TATCTACTGCTTTTTTAAAATCATTTATTAGTATGATATGCTTTACAGATGTATTTTTCTTACCTGTACCGTCGGTTCTGCCAGAAATTACATCACTGGGTTGACCTCTACCCGCATTATTATATGCAACTAGATAAAACTGATATTTCATTCCGCATCGAAGAGTTTTAAATGTGTAACTCGTGCGATCGTCTGGTAATTGGATCTCTTCCCACTCCTTAATTTCAGATTTATGATAAATTATGTATCCTGAGTAAACAAAACAACCATGAGTGCCAGCCAAAGTTAGAAAAAAAAAAAACATTATTTTCTTTAATCGTTATGAGCTTTAGTAAAAAATTACCAGAAATTGGATTGTCATCTGAGTTAAGTGGTTTCCATGTCAAATAAATGGATGATGATGTAGAGGATACGATTTCTAATGCGGGACTCGCTGGAGGATCTGAAATAAAATTTTAGATAAAAGAATTTATAAAGTAATAAAGAATTAAAATAACTTTTCGTCTGATAAGTCGTTTAAAAATGCGAAAATTGAACATTTAAATGAAGCGAGAAAAGTAATAACGACTGTCTTTAGATTGCTAAAGGTATCTGTCTTCTATCATAAGAAGCAATATGACTAATAAAAATAACAATATAATAGATTACGAAGAAGGAAGAGTTTCTGTCATTTGTGGAAAAATGCCCAAAAAGTTTGTTAATCGCAGTTTGGTCTTTAACACGATATGATATACCGATCAAGCCCTTCGAGTGTAATAATTCTCCAAAATGCATCACGTTAAATTGATAGTCTTTACTTCATTCGCCGAAACTTTTTAGTCACATTAAATCCCTTCAATATCTAGAAAATTTTTAGTATCTTTAGTTTAAAAAATAAATAATTTAGATTTTAGTAACAATTTTAATATATTGTGTAGACTAAAACAACAGAATTTTCTTCAGTTTTAGATGTATAAAAATTATATATTTTACTTAAGAATGATAGTTACTGTATATCTATAAATTTTCTGTGAGTCTTATAAATATATCTCGCATTATTTATAAAAATTATCAATAATATAATATCAATTATTATGAATTTATCATTGATTAACAAGGTCTTTTCACTTTAATATTTTATACAATTGAGGATAAATTCTTCATGAGTAGAAATACAAGAATTATTGATAAAATTATTGTTTAAAAATTTCATTAGCTTAATATAGTTTTAGTGTCCTTTAAAAGTTTTTAAAATGTGGATTTTTTAATTATAAATATGTACAGACTTGAAAAAAAAAAACAATAAATGATATTCAAAGAAATCGATTCGTATATATTTTTTTTTACTGTTAAAAAATTACATATAAGCAATATTGATCAAATCTACGGCTGTTTTATGAAACAAATATTGTTTTTCTTGCAATTTCTAAATCGACTATTGATTGATAAATAAAAAATTATAGATTAAATGTCAGAAAAATTTTTAGTCTTAAGTGAAAATTGTATTCTAACAGGTCCACGAACGCTTTATTTGCTGTATTTACTGTTGAATGATGGCCAAACTGATTTAAAAGCAAAAAAATGGATTGAAAGTAGAGCTATAAACATATTTGAATTAATTTTTTTTCGAATAGTGTCAACGAGCCAACAAGTAGAAAGATGGTCTAGGTCTACGTTAAGAAAAACTCATTCACTTTCATTCCATTTGCGAATAAAGTCGTGTAGGTTTCATAAATATGTGTAATATGGTCTCTATGTCGATCAGATTTGAAGATCAGAAAGAAAAATTCGAGGAAAAAAGTCAAAGAAAAGTTGTAAAAAAGGAAAGGAAATAGGAAAACGGAGGAAAAAAAGAGTAAAAAAATAAAAACCAGCAATGGAAAATAAAGAAGAGGAACAAGAATAGGAGTAAGAAAAACATCCATAAAAGAAGAATCAAGAATAAAGCTAACATAAAATCAAAGAATAATAATAAAAAAACAAAAAAACATATGTAGAGATGCAGGAGGGAATCTCAACTTCGGAAGAAGGTGTGTGTTATTCGACATTGAAATAGCAATATACTGCAATGGATGTAATATGTTACATTAAAGTTTGATGGAGATAATATACAAAGACTAAAAGCTCTTTTCATCTATTTTCATTCACCGAATATCTCTTTATCCCTTTCGGTTCAATAAAAGTTCATCTAATTTAAATATTACTATTTTTTTTTTAATTTGAATTTATATTCATCATATTTACTACAAGAGAAACAGAGAGAGATAACATTAATTAACATATTCATTTTTTCTAAAAATTTTAAGGAATTTTAAAATGAATTAAATATGTATATTATATATTTTTAAAAATAACATCTATTATGCTTAGCAAATTATTACTTTTAGGAAATTGTGTTACATTTTTCTAATTAAATATTAACACTCGTGTAAAAATGAGCAGAGATGTAAAATTAATATTTAAAGTAAATAATTTCAATAAGAGTTAAAAGCATAAATTGCATTATTTTCTTACTTTTCTAATGTTATTTTAAAAATTATTTAAGAAAATCTAGCGAAAATGTTCAGTATTAACGAAGAGTATTGAAGTTATCAATTATTCTTCGATTTATAAAATTTATATAGTTGATTAACGAAAAGCTGTTAGGAAACTTTACCAACTTACACGGTTTCCAAAATTGTTCTATTTATCAATTTTTTATCTTTTCCTTCTTTCACGAAAATTAGCGCTGAAATTTTATTGAATGATAAATTATTTCAATTAAAATTTAATTAAATACGAAACATTCTTTAGTTTCGATTTCCTATCTTGATGTTTAACTAAATTTAGCGTAAAAATTTCCAATAAACAGACTATAAATTTCTAATATACTAAGTGAATTTACATTTCATATGTTTTTTGAATGGCAAACGTTAAATTATCTCAAATTTTCAACATATAAAATTAATATTTTTTTAATATATATATTTTACTTTCGAAATGAAGATTTGTTTAATTTTTTTTTAAATATAAATCTAATTAAAAATTAAATATTTAAACATTAACAGTATTATAACTCCGCTCTTGATGCTATCTTTTAATCAATTTTTTATTAAGAAAAGGAAGATTTTAATTTTACATGATAAATAATTATTCAAGATATTTATTTTACAAACATTTTTTTTAATTATGACAATTTTATCGTGCGTTAAAGACAACATGAAGTAAGTGAAACGTAAAATTTCCTCTCTCAATGACACATAATACGTTTAAGCGCCTTACGTGGAATTGATACGTATTACAACTGTTTTCCGGTTATTAATTTATTATATATATATATATATCTTTTTTACTTTGTTTATAAAATATAAATTATTCTGTCTATAAATAATGATTTTTAACTCGAGATTATATACCTGTCAATTTTTTTAAGTAAAATTTCTACGTTAATTTTAGTAAGAAGAGAGCATAATGCACCATCGAAACATCATTTAGAGTTCGGATTAGTGAGTAGATGCGTGTAAATGCTATGAGAGAATTGTTATTGACTATCTATTTCAGTATACGTTAATATATTCAGGAATCGACAGCTAGATAATATATAATCACAATAGGAAAATTTCAAGTGCGGGAGAGTATCGATCGTATTTGTTGTGCAGGAATGGAGATTGGAACCACAAAAGGTTGAAAGATGAAACGTCCTAAAACAAAATGTATCTGTCCCCAGAAAAAAAAATCACGTAGAAAAACATTACAAATCAAAATATCCGGATTCAAAACTTTGAAAAGTCATTACAGAAAGGCAAAATTTAAAAAATATGTGAAGATAAATATTGAATATCAAAACATCGCTAGTCGAAAATATCTCGTGTCTAAATATTTTGGTTTCAGATATTTCGAATTTTAAATATTTTAATGAAAATTTTAATATTTTATACGAAATTTAAACTTGGTAATCAAAAATTATATATATTTAATTCATATTAAACGTTTGAATTGTGCATCTATTATAATATATTGCAATAAGTCTAACCTAATCTAAAATGTAAACTTTTTGTAATAAATGTATTTAAATTAAGTTCTTAGTTAAAATATATTTAGTTTAGTTCTGGATAATTCGACTTTTTCTTTAAAAAAATATGATATAGACCTATTTGAATGAGACATTTAAAAATATTACGTTATACAAAATAAAGAATTATTAAGTTTAGTTTAAAGTTTGAAATTTTAACAGTTTAATTACAAAATTAATATTTAAAAATATATCAAAATCATTTATCATAATGCTTAAGACATTAATCGCATTAGATATTGATATCATTTTCAATGTCGTGACAGTCGGACCATTGTAATGATTGTATTCTACTTAACATCTAGTGATAAATTACGCATTTTTTCTCATTTATATAACAAAAAGACTTATTATTAAGCATTTATTTCATTTTTAATCTATATTAATTGATTATTAAAAAGTAATTGGCATTTACATTAAACGAGTAGGCCTACCATACAATTTTATGTTTTTGTGACTTTTTGATTATTGTTTGTTATTAAATACGATTTAATAATCAACTCTAGAAATTATTCTTTATTCTTTACATTCAAATAAATAAAACTATTTAGAGTATTTTTCGGAATAAGTACGGAGCCGATGTACTAGATATTAAATGTGTATCACTCCGCCCTATATCTAAACAACGAAGCTATGGCGCCAGTAAACAATAAAATACAACAGAATAAAAACTTTAAAAATTCAAACATCACGTCATATGATATCGTTTGACGGATTTCCTTTTTATAATCTCGCATTTCTTAAAAACATGTCGGAAATTTCAAATAGATTATAAAAACATAACTTGTAATTTTTTAATAAACAGTAAACTTATATTCTATATATAGGCCTTATTATGTTCTATTTTGTAAAGAGCACAGAACTGTTTTCCTTTCCTTATATAGATTAATAAACATAAAGAATTTTAATAAGAAATAATTTATTATCTAATAATTTCTCCATATATAATAAAATAATAAATATATAATTAATATTTTTGTTATAATTTAACTTTTTCTTTCCCATCCTTACTATTTTTCTTAGATTTTTAAATATTTTGAGACCTTAGGACTTAAAACAATTTGTGAAAGTTTCCAGTTTACCAGTTTTACATAAGAAGAGTTTAAAATAGAAGTATAAACGTGTATACTATATGTATAATATAAGAATTGAATTAAAGAAAGTAACTGGTAATAAAATATTCGTTTATTGTCGTGAGTAAAAGATCAGATAGAAATTTGACTCGGATCCTCAAGGTTTTTATGGATAGTTAGGATCGGAATGTTACTGGTCATCTTCGCCCATACACCATAAACCATTGAAATTCAAATCCACCAAAAGATATAAAACAGAGACCAATCATATGCTATATAACCCGTGAGAAATTTTAATCCTTGAGAATTTCTGATTCGAATCGATTTGAATCGGTAATTATTTAATGGACTATATTATTCGAAATCGCTCTCTTCATCCTCATTTGAAGATCCATTAGGCTACAATTCAATGTGACAGGACAAAATGGGAGTCAACATACAATACCGGAGTAAATATCCGGAAAACTTGAAACCGGAAAAGGTCCGGATTTCTGGATTTTCTGATTTACTGAACACAAGCTAAATATATACTTAACTTATAAAATAAACAATGGAAAGTAAAGAACAAAACTGTTTTTAACACACCGTATGCCAGCAAACATTAGAACCGACGTCACGCGACGCGCACGCCATGAAAAACAAAGCGGCTATGCGGCGANAAATCTTTTTTTTTTTACAATTTATTCCTATATAATCGTCGAGTAAAGTTTATAAACACGTTTCCTCCTGAATTTTTTTAATTAATTTTTTTTATTTAATTTTTGGTTCTTTCGTTGAGGTAGAAACGTACAAAATTCTACTAAATTGAAGTTATAAACATATTTTTCTCTGTTTTATGGTCATCGAAGCAGACTCTTAACGCCCAACATGATGTGTGTGATACATTCTAAAATGCATGTCACACTCGGTTTCTGACAATTCCATTTCGCTCCCTTCCGGATCACTGAAGGCAGAATCCTGTTCGTGATTTTCATTATAACACCTAAACAAATAGAAAAATATACACAAAACCAAAAAATATACAAGTAAATTTTAATAGAAATTGCATTCCTTTCATTCATTTTTTTTGTTCAAAACTTGTAACGGTCCTGTTCCAATGAATATATATACTTTTTTTAACTTCCATCCTCACAAATTGAATTATTTCTACATCTAAATTGAATTTTATTTTACAGTTTTTTTTCTTAAAAAAAATAATAACCAAAATTTATATTATGAAATAAATATATTGATCACATGCAAATTATAAAACATTTTTTTCTTCCCCTTACTTACCTGGAATTGTGACTAATTTTCATTATTCCAGGTCTTCGGCCATAAATACTTGTTCCTATCTCTTTGTAACATGCAATGGTCGAGTGCAATAATTCGGGTATTTGCAAATCTAAAATTAAACAATTTATTTTCGATGGGTTAAAACCATAAATTAAGTTTCTTCAATTTTTTTTTAAGACGGTGAGTCTCTTCAAAAATCCATCCTAATGGAAATTATCTCAAAAATAAATTATTATGTTTTAATCAATTTTAATTGTCTATATTAAAAAATTTAATTATTTTTTAAAAAACTCGTTTTTAAGGATAATTAATTAATTTTTAAATGTTTCAATTTTATGCATATTTTCTTCCCATAAAATATGTTTAATCGGTTTTAAAAGCAATTTTTTAATCTTATACGGAAAATTAATTACGGGTATTATTTTTTAAATTTTTTTATAACTAAATAAGTTTTTTAATTCCTTTATTAAGAAAAGCGAATTAAGTTTTAGAATAGTTTACTAAAAAGGAAAAAAAAATGCTGATTTCTTTAAGTAATTTCAAATGAAAAAATCACTGAATCGTGCTTTAAAAGGCGATACAGATGCATATTTAAAACGATAGAGCATTTTCCTGAAATTAAATTCGTGATAAAATTACCATTTAACCCTACCTTGCTGTAGATAGGCACAGTTTTGTTCATCTTCCGGATCTTGTCCAAAGAATTCCAACCCGTTCGTCTGTAAAATAAGAGACCCGCTCTTCGTACGGAGTAACAGTTGAAATTGCGAAATGAGAGAAATGTTGTTTGAAGGGGCACTATAACCTCGTCACCTGTCTTGGAAGAAATGGTACGTCGTACGTATGTTCTCCTCTCCACCCACTATGTGGTGCAGGTTCTGGATCGCCATCTGCAGAATACATAGAAATCCTACTGGTGGCATAAGGAGACGGGAAGTACAACTGTTCCCTGCTGTGCCCTAAACGAGCTTGTCTTTTCTCCCAAACGCTAAGCGGAACCGTATCTGTTGGCTTGGGAACTTCCGACTCTGTCCTTTGATCCTCTACAGGAAAAAAATTGCTACGTTAAGATTTAGGTCAGAATAACTAACTTTCATTCTATCTGTACCTTGCTGCACAGCTGGAGCTGATGAAATTTGGCATCTTCTCATAAGTATAACACAAGTAATAGTGGCTATTAAAACAAGAACTATGGTGGTGCATACGACAGGAATGATTATTTTCAATTGTTGATAAAATTGATTCTTATCGTGCTGCGATGATAACGGCGGTACCGTTGCTATAATTTAAGTAAAATTGCAATTTAATGCATTAAATATCTTTATATTATTTTGCTAGAAGCTCATAATAATGAAATATTGTTTGCCATATCTTACCTCCTGTTATAGTTAGTGTAGCGAAAACGAATTCTGCTTCAGCAGATCCTGCATCATTGTGGGCAGTCATTAAAAGAACATACCAAGTCGCTGGCATTAGATCGGTAATAACAACGACTTTCTGTTCAGTGAGAACGTTATTAGACAATAATATCCATTCTTTTTGCACGCGTGGTTTGTATTGTATGACGAAAAAGTTGATGGGACATCCTCCACTTTGCCAACTTGAAAGATGTAACATAACAGAGGTGGAATTAATAGTCAATAAGGACTTCTTATCAGGCGAAATTGGAGCTAGACAATAAAAATAAAGATATAAATTTAAACATTTTTCTGCAAGCAAAATACTTAATAAAACTTTGCATAAAAAACAGAAACATTTCAAATCTCGTCATATTCTATTGTAAATATTTAATCTATAACTATAACCGATTTATCTGCGTTGCTTTCTATTCAATAAACATTGTGCAATTATAGATATTTGCAGTTCCATTTTCATTATTACAACTTTCTCAAGAGTCTCCTTCATCTCTTGGTTAAGTGTTCTTAATGTTCTGTCATGTATCTCGATCTATATTATCCTTTTCTGTAAACCCTTGGGGAAATCAGGCTCAGTAATAGTTCGATTCGGTTGCCAATAAGACTAGAAACTATAGTAAATCCAAACCAGCAATCAACTATATCTACTGCTTTTTTAAAATCATTTATTAGTATGATATGCTTTACAGATGTATTTTTCTTACCTGTACCGTCGGTTCTGCCAGAAATTACATCACTGGGTTGACCTCTACCCGCATTATTATATGCAACTAGATAAAACTGATATTTCATTCCGCATCGAAGAGTTTTAAATGTGTAACTCGTGCGATCGTCTGGTAATTGGATCTCTTCCCACTCCTTAATTTCAGATTTATGATAAATTATGTATCCTGAGTAAACAAAACAACCATGAGTGCCAGCCAAAGTTAGAAAAAAAAAAAACATTATTTTCTTTAATCGTTATGAGCTTTAGTAAAAAATTACCAGAAATTGGATTGTCATCTGAGTTAAGTGGTTTCCATGTCAAATAAATGGATGATGATGTAGAGGATACGATTTCTAATGCGGGACTCGCTGGAGGATCTGAAATAAAATTTTAGATAAAAGAATTTATAAAGTAATAAAGAATTAAAATAACTTTTCGTCTGATAAGTCGTTTAAAAATGCGAAAATTGAACATTTAAATGAAGCGAGAAAAGTAATAACGACTGTCTTTAGATTGCTAAAGGTATCTGTCTTCTATCATAAGAAGCAATATGACTAATAAAAATAACAATATAATAGATTACGAAGAAGGAAGAGTTTCTGTCATTTGTGGAAAAATGCCCAAAAAGTTTGTTAATCGCAGTTTGGTCTTTAACACGATATGATATACCGATCAAGCCCTTCGAGTGTAATAATTCTCCAAAATGCATCACGTTAAATTGATAGTCTTTACTTCATTCGCCGAAACTTTTTAGTCACATTAAATCCCTTCAATATCTAGAAAATTTTTAGTATCTTTAGTTTAAAAAATAAATAATTTAGATTTTAGTAACAATTTTAATATATTGTGTAGACTAAAACAACAGAATTTTCTTCAGTTTTAGATGTATAAAAATTATATATTTTACTTAAGAATGATAGTTACTGTATATCTATAAATTTTCTGTGAGTCTTATAAATATATCTCGCATTATTTATAAAAATTATCAATAATATAATATCAATTATTATGAATTTATCATTGATTAACAAGGTCTTTTCACTTTAATATTTTATACAATTGAGGATAAATTCTTCATGAGTAGAAATACAAGAATTATTGATAAAATTATTGTTTAAAAATTTCATTAGCTTAATATAGTTTTAGTGTCCTTTAAAAGTTTTTAAAATGTGGATTTTTTAATTATAAATATGTACAGACTTGAAAAAAAAAAACAATAAATGATATTCAAAGAAATCGATTCGTATATATTTTTTTTTACTGTTAAAAAATTACATATAAGCAATATTGATCAAATCTACGGCTGTTTTATGAAACAAATATTGTTTTTCTTGCAATTTCTAAATCGACTATTGATTGATAAATAAAAAATTATAGATTAAATGTCAGAAAAATTTTTGGTCTTAAGTGAAAATTGTATTCTAACAGGTCCACGAACGCTTTATTTGCTGTATTTACTGTTGAATGATGGCCAAACTGATTTAAAAGCAAAAAAATGGATTGAAAGTAGAGCTATAAACATATTTGAATTAATTTTTTTTCGAATAGTGTCAACGAGCCAACAAGTAGAAAGATGGTCTAGGTCTACGTTAAGAAAAACTCATTCACTTTCATTCCATTTGCGAATAAAGTCGTGTAGGTTTCATAAATATGTGTAATATGGTCTCTATGTCGATCAGATTTGAAGATCAGAAAGAAAAATTCGAGGAAAAAAGTCAAAGAAAAGTTGTAAAAAAGGAAAGGAAATAGGAAAACGGAGGAAAAAAAGAGTAAAAAAATAAAAACCAGCAATGGAAAATAAAGAAGAGGAACAAGAATAGGAGTAAGAAAAACATCCATAAAAGAAGAATCAAGAATAAAGCTAACATAAAATCAAAGAATAATAATAAAAAAACAAAAAAACATATGTAGAGATGCAGGAGGGAATCTCAACTTCGGAAGAAGGTGTGTGTTATTCGACATTGAAATAGCAATATACTGCAATGGATGTAATATGTTACATTAAAGTTTGATGGAGATAATATACAAAGACTAAAAGCTCTTTTCATCTATTTTCATTCACCGAATATCTCTTTATCCCTTTCGGTTCAATAAAAGTTCATCTAATTTAAATATTACTATTTTTTTTTTAATTTGAATTTATATTCATCATATTTACTACAAGAGAAACAGAGAGAGATAACATTAATTAACATATTCATTTTTTCTAAAAATTTTAAGGAATTTTAAAATGAATTAAATATGTATATTATATATTTTTAAAAATAACATCTATTATGCTTAGCAAATTATTACTTTTAGGAAATTGTGTTACATTTTTCTAATTAAATATTAACACTCGTGTAAAAATGAGCAGAGATGTAAAATTAATATTTAAAGTAAATAATTTCAATAAGAGTTAAAAGCATAAATTGCATTATTTTCTTACTTTTCTAATGTTATTTTAAAAATTATTTAAGAAAATCTAGCGAAAATGTTCAGTATTAACGAAGAGTATTGAAGTTATCAATTATTCTTCGATTTATAAAATTTATATAGTTGATTAACGAAAAGCTGTTAGGAAACTTTACCAACTTACACGGTTTCCAAAATTGTTCTATTTATCAATTTTTTATCTTTTCCTTCTTTCACGAAAATTAGCGCTGAAATTTTATTGAATGATAAATTATTTCAATTAAAATTTAATTAAATACGAAACATTCTTTAGTTTCGATTTCCTATCTTGATGTTTAACTAAATTTAGCGTAAAAATTTCCAATAAACAGACTATAAATTTCTAATATACTAAGTGAATTTACATTTCATATGTTTTTTGAATGGCAAACGTTAAATTATCTCAAATTTTCAACATATAAAATTAATATTTTTTTAATATATATATTTTACTTTCGAAATGAAGATTTGTTTAATTTTTTTTTAAATATAAATCTAATTAAAAATTAAATATTTAAACATTAACAGTATTATAACTCCGCTCTTGATGCTATCTTTTAATCAATTTTTTATTAAGAAAAGGAAGATTTTAATTTTACATGATAAATAATTATTCAAGATATTTATTTTACAAACATTTTTTTTAATTATGACAATTTTATCGTGCGTTAAAGACAACATGAAGTAAGTGAAACGTAAAATTTCCTCTCTCAATGACACATAATACGTTTAAGCGCCTTACGTGGAATTGATACGTATTACAACTGTTTTCCGGTTATTAATTTATTATATATATATATATATCTTTTTTACTTTGTTTATAAAATATAAATTATTCTGTCTATAAATAATGATTTTTAACTCGAGATTATATACCTGTCAATTTTTTTAAGTAAAATTTCTACGTTAATTTTAGTAAGAAGAGAGCATAATGCACCATCGAAACATCATTTAGAGTTCGGATTAGTGAGTAGATGCGTGTAAATGCTATGAGAGAATTGTTATTGACTATCTATTTCAGTATACGTTAATATATTCAGGAATCGACAGCTAGATAATATATAATCACAATAGGAAAATTTCAAGTGCGGGAGAGTATCGATCGTATTTGTTGTGCAGGAATGGAGATTGGAACCACAAAAGGTTGAAAGATGAAACGTCCTAAAACAAAATGTATCTGTCCCCAGAAAAAAAAATCACGTAGAAAAACATTACAAATCAAAATATCCGGATTCAAAACTTTGAAAAGTCATTACAGAAAGGCAAAATTTAAAAAATATGTGAAGATAAATATTGAATATCAAAACATCGCTAGTCGAAAATATCTCGTGTCTAAATATTTTGGTTTCAGATATTTCGAATTTTAAATATTTTAATGAAAATTTTAATATTTTATACGAAATTTAAACTTGGTAATCAAAAATTATATATATTTAATTCATATTAAACGTTTGAATTGTGCATCTATTATAATATATTGCAATAAGTCTAACCTAATCTAAAATGTAAACTTTTTGTAATAAATGTATTTAAATTAAGTTCTTAGTTAAAATATATTTAGTTTAGTTCTGGATAATTCGACTTTTTCTTTAAAAAAATATGATATAGACCTATTTGAATGAGACATTTAAAAATATTACGTTATACAAAATAAAGAATTATTAAGTTTAGTTTAAAGTTTGAAATTTTAACAGTTTAATTACAAAATTAATATTTAAAAATATATCAAAATCATTTATCATAATGCTTAAGACATTAATCGCATTAGATATTGATATCATTTTCAATGTCGTGACAGTCGGACCATTGTAATGATTGTATTCTACTTAACATCTAGTGATAAATTACGCATTTTTTCTCATTTATATAACAAAAAGACTTATTATTAAGCATTTATTTCATTTTTAATCTATATTAATTGATTATTAAAAAGTAATTGGCATTTACATTAAACGAGTAGGCCTACCATACAATTTTATGTTTTTGTGACTTTTTGATTATTGTTTGTTATTAAATACGATTTAATAATCAACTCTAGAAATTATTCTTTATTCTTTACATTCAAATAAATAAAACTATTTAGAGTATTTTTCGGAATAAGTACGGAGCCGATGTACTAGATATTAAATGTGTATCACTCCGCCCTATATATAAACAACGAAGCTATGGCGCCAGTAAACAATAAAATACAACAGAATAAAAACTTTAAAAATTCAAACATCACGTCATATGATATCGTTTGACGGATTTCCTTTTTATAATCTCGCATTTCTTAAAAACATGTCGGAAATTTCAAATAGATTATAAAAACATAACTTGTAATTTTTTAATAAACAGTAAACTTATATTCTATATATAGGCCTTATTATGTTCTATTTTGTAAAGAGCACAGAACTGTTTTCCTTTCCTTATATAGATTAATAAACATAAAGAATTTTAATAAGAAATAATTTATTATCTAATAATTTCTCCATATATAATAAAATAATAAATATATAATTAATATTTTTGTTATAATTTAACTTTTTCTTTCCCATCCTTACTATTTTTCTTAGATTTTTAAATATTTTGAGACCTTAGGACTTAAAACAATTTGTGAAAGTTTCCAGTTTACCAGTTTTACATAAGAAGAGTTTAAAATAGAAGTATAAACGTGTATACTATATGTATAATATAAGAATTGAATTAAAGAAAGTAACTGGTAATAAAATATTCGTTTATTGTCGTGAGTAAAAGATCAGATAGAAATTTGACTCGGATCCTCAAGGTTTTTATGGATAGTTAGGATCGGAATGTTACTGGTCATCTTCGCCCATACACCATAAACCATTGAAATTCAAATCCACCAAAAGATATAAAACAGAGACCAATCATATGCTATATAACCCGTGAGAAATTTTAATCCTTGAGAATTTCTGATTCGAATCGATTTGAATCGGTAATTATTTAATGGACTATATTATTCGAAATCGCTCTCTTCATCCTCATTTGAAGATCCATTAGGCTACAATTCAATGTGACAGGACAAAATGGGAGTCAACATACAATACCGAAGTAAATATCCGGAAAACTTGAAACCGGAAAAGGTCCGGATTTCTGGATTTTCTGATTTACTGAACACAAGCTAAATATATACTTAACTTATAAAATAAACAATGGAAAGTAAAGAACAAAACTGTTTTTAACACACCGTATGCCAGCAAACATTAGAACCGACGTCACGCGACGCGCACGCCATGAAAAACAAAGCGGCTATGCGGCGAACTACAAATATATTAAAGCCCGCTAAATTCAAAATTAGCCAGTTTCAAAAATATCCGGTTGTTTGGTAATTCCGGATTTCTGGAAGCGGATATTTGATTCTCTACTGTGTAATTGCAATACGTTAAAACTTTGCAATTCGAATCCATTCTAAACTACGAACAGTATCAAAATAAAAATAAAAAATCACATTTTTATTTATTATTATACAGTATTTATTTTTAATCGCTGTTATATGTATACACTCAAATAAATATATCAATATTTTCTTTTCCGGTAACAAAGTTTCTATAGGAAGTAATGCAAAGACAAGGAAATTTTGTTTGATATCATTTTTATCTGAATGATACTAAAAGAGGTCATTGGAAAGAAAGGGAAAATTATCTCCTAACAAAAATCTAACACAGATCCTACTGATTTGAGTTTGGAAGATAATAAATTAATCTTGAAAAATTAATCAAAGAAATAAAATTAAATAATAATAATAATAATAATAATAATAAGCAATTTCAGTGAAAATTAAGACGTCTTTTCTCAATTTGTGTTTGCTTGTTTAATAATTTATTATGTTTAAGATAAAATATGACAATAATTAAGGTTTGAGAGTAACGAAATGAGGCCCTAATCAGTTATAAATATAGGGCCTACTCATCCGAAAGCCATAAAAAATATATAAATAAAATCGATAAAAAAATAAGGCAGATTTTTCGCTATTTATCAAAAGAAACTTTCATTTATATCAATTTTATATCATGTTTTTCACATAAAAGATTAAATTTTGGGAGTTTTCTGTGTTCAGAGCTGTGTTTTCTGTGTGTGGACCAAATGACCCTGCTGGTCCCCTTTATCTGAACCTGACAATAATATATAGTGTATTCTTGTGATTATTTTGAAATATATTCCTACTGAAGAAAGGTCACAATTTATCAGAAACATACGTTCAGATAATAGAGGCCATATTTCAATATTTACTACAGAAATATGTTTATATAGGCCTATAATATATTTTTACAAATTCCAGATAATTAAAGTTTTAAATATTCAGCAAAATTATGGACTTTACAAGTTACTTTATTTGTATTATGATATTTAAATACGCAATATTGACTTTTCAACGTTTTGTCTTTCGATGACAATCTTGAATTGAAGATATTCTCGACATTATCCATAAATTAGTAATATATAAACTAGAATAAGAGATTATCATTCGAACTATTGTAACTTATCTGCAGGAGAGTAGAAACTACTTACGAATAACCGAATCAATATTCAGATTCAATTTTAATAACAACAGAGATTCTCGGGAATAATATACCTCACACTGTTTAACATTTATTTAAATGCTGATTTCCTTGACCAATACCAAGATTAATTATTAAGTAGACGAGATATTAATGATAGAAGTTGGAAATAATATTTCTGAACTATGAAGCAAATTAATAATCACGTTGAACCATTATATCATTTATTCCTACAACATAATTTGTTAACTAATACATAGAGATCAGTCATTCTAAACAGCAATATAACCGAGTCGTTTCATAATGAGATATTGTATTATACTTAAAAATAAATATGGAATAATTAAACATTTTAAAATATTTTTAAACATATTTAAATTAAGTTGTAAAATTCAAAGAAGAATTGTGACGTTGCATAATTTATGACTTTATTTAAACGCTTGAGTATTGAAATCTAGCCTTATACTTCGTTGTATACTCTGTTTCGCTAATATATTGTTTAACTATTATTCAGCCATCATTATTTTCTTTACACTTCGCTTCTCTAACATTTGTTTTCTTCGCACCGTTTGCGAATAATGGCGAGAAACGATGTGAATATTCACTGACATTAGTTTGGATCATAATAACTTTGTCGAAAGTTAGTTCGCAATATCTACTTCTTTAGTTATCCCAATTTGTCTATAACATTTTTACAATATTTTGAACCAGATATAACTAGATAAAATTGAATTTAAGCATTTTTAATAAACTATTGCCATGTTAATAATCATCAAAAAGCTCATAATCATTCATAAATTCATAAGCAGTAAGGAACAGTTGATGCTACTGATAAGAATCAGCTTTCATTTAATTAATTTTCTACACGAAAATTTCTTCTATTAAGCTATCTAAATAATATATTCAATAAATTTACGAACAGATATTAAAAATTGTTTGCTATCATACTTAGTTTCATAATGTTTATACTTATAAGATAAAATTAAATCTTATTAAACAGGAATTATAACATTATCATAAAGGACAGTTGAACTTGTATACAAACTTTATTGAAGACTCACGAATCAATATTATGTTTAAAACTCCTTAATATTGCTTCTTTTATACGTATTTAATATTTAAAATATCAGATCAGTCGATAAACTATAAGGAATTTACGGTAAAAATGTTTAATAATGCTTAATGGTTTGAAGACTTAAAATATAGCCAAATCGCTGCATTTCTAAAGAAATTTTAAAACTATATTTGATCAATTACTATTCCATTACATTAAATTACATATTTTAACTTTCAAATAACTTCAAAATACTTGATACACTGTATAGTGTACAGCTTTCTAATACTAAAATAAGGCGAAATAATCAATACGTCATTTCGAAATATCAAAGTATTAATGCATATTTCAGACATCTGGCAATATACAATTTTACCTTAAGGAGAATGTATAGTATAAATTTATATTGTAAATGTCCCCTAAAGTAAAATTATGTAAGTAGAGCCATCGGACACAGAACTATAATGTACTGTACAGTACATTACTAAGCTCTCATTTATAATTTCGACTATATTAAGAGAAAGCATTAAAAATTTACAATACTAAAGAGCTTTACGTCTTACCTTTAACAGAAATGACATTTGAAAATATTTAATTCTGATTTCAAAATAAAAATATTTAAACATTGATTATATGAAATGTATTGTAATGAAATTTAAATATATCCCGTATTTAAATTTAATTAATTTTTCGTTCTGAATTTTTCAACTGAAAACATGAATATATTTAATAAAGGTTAACAAAGAGCTTTCTGATAAAATCGATACTTTATATAATAAGTTAATTAATAAAAGTTATTTTATACCCGTTGGCTACAACTCATTATAGCTTCCATAACCTGAGGGTTAGATTCGTCATCATTCCGGAATCTAGCTTTAGGAACGATACCCAAGTAACAAATATTAAATTGTACCAGACAATTTCCGCTTAATACAATCTTTGCAAACGTCAAACTATAATATTTAATCGATATTACTTAGAGGAACAGCAATTTTTGGTCGCATTTTTACAGCGTAATATCGAGAGATTTCGTGTCTATCAGCTTATCTTAAGTACAGAAAACGAAAAGTAAAAAATATCAAAATATACCGTATTCTAAGGTCTGTGCAATGACTTCTTCGGATTTTGGACCCGTTCCTTTGGAATTAAAGGCTTGGACAATAATGGAGTATTTCGTATGTCTTCTGAGATTGGAAAGTTCGCATTCTTGATTATTACCAGGAGCAGCCACTGATGTCTTGTAGGTATAAAGCTCATTAACTTCTTTCATTTTGTAACCGACGTAATAACCTTCAATAATTCCATGTTGGTCTTCTTTAGCTGGAGGCTGTGAAGATATACAAAGAAGTGAATTAACCTTCTAAGGATTTGTTCTCGATTATAGCAAGGCAGGACGTCTTCTTGTGTTCTTTAAAAATAAACTTTACATTATTATCTCGAGATTTCTGTTCTTCTTTGTTTTTATACGGAAATTTGCTAATAAAGTATAATGAGAACTTTTTTTAATGTAACTTACATATTAATTTCAGAATTAATAATGCAATTTGGTTATTTTCTCTTTATTACTGACTTCTAACAGTAGATTTTTTTAATACAAATTATTTCTAAATCATAAATTTAATTTTAAGAGNTAAGTTTTTTAATTCCTTTATTAAGAAAAGCGAATTAAGTTTTAGAATAGTTTACTAAAAAGGAAAAAAAAATACTGATTTCTTTAAGTAATTTCAAATGAAAAAATCACTGAATCGTGCTTTAAAAGGCGATACAGATGCATATTTAAAACGATAGAGCATTTTCCTGAAATTAAATTCGTGATAAAATTACCATTTAACCCTACCTTGCTGTAGATAGGCACAGTTTTGTTCATCTTCCGGATCTTGTCCAAAGAATTCCAACCCGTTCGTCTGTAAAATAAGAGACCCGCTCTTCGTACGGAGTAACAGTTGAAATTGCGAAATGAGAGAAATGTTGTTTGAAGGGGCACTATAACCTCGTCACCTGTCTTGGAAGAAATGGTACGTCGTACGTATGTTCTCCTCTCCACCCACTATGTGGTGCAGGTTCTGGATCGCCATCTGCAGAATACATAGAAATCCTACTGGTGGCATAAGGAGACGGGAAGTACAACTGTTCCCTGCTGTGCCCTAAACGAGCTTGTCTTTTCTCCCAAACGCTAAGCGGAACCGTATCTGTTGGCTTGGGAACTTCCGACTCTGTCCTTTGATCCTCTACAGGAAAAAAAATTGCTACGTTAAGATTTAGGTCAGAATAACTAAATAACTAACTTTCATTCTATCTGTACCTTGCTGCACAGCTGGAGCTGATGAAATTTGGCATCTTCTCATAAGTATAACACAAGTAATAGTGGCTATTAAAACAAGAACTATGGTGGTGCATACGACAGGAATGATTATTTTCAATTGTTGATAAAATTGATTCTTATCGTGCTGCGATGATAACGGCGGTACCGTTGCTATAATTTAAGTAAAATTGCAATTTAATGCATTAAATATCTTTATATTATTTTGCTAGAAGCTCATAATAATGAAATATTGTTTGCCATATCTTACCTCCTGTTATAGTTAGTGTAGCGAAAACGAATTCTGCTTCAGCAGATCCTGCATCATTGTGGGCAGTCATTAAAAGAACATACCAAGTCGCTGGCATTAGATCGGTAATAACAACGACTTTCTGTTCAGTGAGAACGTTATTAGACAATAATATCCATTCTTTTTGCACGCGTGGTTTGTATTGTATGACGAAAAAGTTGATGGGACATCCTCCACTTTGCCAACTTGAAAGATGTAACATAACAGAGGTGGAATTAATAGTCAATAAGGACTTCTTATCAGGCGAAATTGGAGCTAGACAATAAAAATCAAGATATAAATTTAAACATTTTTCTGCAAGCAAAATACTTAATAAAACTTTGCATAAAAAACAGAAACATTTCAAATCTCGTCATATTCTATTGTAAATATTTAATCTATAACTATAACCGATTTATCTGCGTTGCTTTCTATTCAATAAACATTGTGCAATTATAGATATTTGCAGTTCCATTTTCATTATTACAACTTTCTCAAGAGTCTCCTTCATCTCTTGGTTAAGTGTTCTTAATGTTCTGTCATGTATCTCGATCTATATTATCCTTTTCTGTAAACCCTTGGGGAAATCAGGCTCAGTAATAGTTCGATTCGGTTGCCAATAAGACTAGAAACTATAGTAAATCCAAACCAGCAATCAACTATATCTACTGCTTTTTTAAAATCATTTATTAGTATGATATGCTTTACAGATGTATTTTTCTTACCTGTACCGTCGGTTCTGCCAGAAATTACATCACTGGGTTGACCTCTACCCGCATTATTATATGCAACTAGATAAAACTGATATTTCATTCCGCATCGAAGAGTTTTAAATGTGTAACTCGTGCGATCGTCTGGTAATTGGATCTCTTCCCACTCCTTAATTTCAGATTTATGATAAATTATGTATCCTGAGTAAACAAAACAACCATGAGTGCCAGCCAAAGTTAGAAAAAAAAAAACATTATTTTCTTTAATCGTTATGAGCTTTAGTAAAAAATTACCAGAAATTGGATTGTCATCTGAGTTAAGTGGTTTCCATGTCAAATAAATGGATGATGATGTAGAGGATACGATTTCTAATGCGGGACTCGCTGGAGGATCTGAAATAAAATTTTAGATAAAAGAATTTATAAAGTAATAAAGAATTAAAATAACTTTTCGTCTGATAAGTCGTTTAAAAATGCGAAAATTGAACATTTAAATGAAGCGAGAAAAGTAATAACGACTGTCTTTAGATTGCTAAAGGTATCTGTCTTCTATCATAAGAAGCAATATGACTAATAAAAATAACAATATAATAGATTACGAAGAAGGAAGAGTTTCTGTCATTTGTGGAAAAATGCCCAAAAAGTTTGTTAATCGCAGTTTGGTCTTTAACACGATATGATATACCGATCAAGCCCTTCGAGTGTAATAATTCTCCAAAATGCATCACGTTAAATTGATAGTCTTTACTTCATTCGCCGAAACTTTTTAGTCACATTAAATCCCTTCAATATCTAGAAAATTTTTAGTATCTTTAGTTTAAAAAATAAATAATTTAGATTTTAGTAACAATTTTAATATATTGTGTAGACTAAAACAACAGAATTTTCTTCAGTTTTAGATGTATAAAAATTATATATTTTACTTAAGAATGATAGTTACTGTATATCTATAAATTTTCTGTGAGTCTTATAAATATATCTCGCATTATTTATAAAAATTATCAATAATATAATATCAATTATTATGAATTTATCATTGATTAACAAGGTCTTTTCACTTTAATATTTTATACAATTGAGGATAAATTCTTCATGAGTAGAAATACAAGAATTATTGATAAAATTATTGTTTAAAAATTTCATTAGCTTAATATAGTTTTAGTGTCCTTTAAAAGTTTTTAAAATGTGGATTTTTTAATTATAAATATGTACAGACTTGAAAAAAAAAAACAATAAATGATATTCAAAGAAATCGATTCGTATATATTTTTTTTTACTGTTAAAAAATTACATATAAGCAATATTGATCAAATCTACGGCTGTTTTATGAAACAAATATTGTTTTTCTTGCAATTTCTAAATCGACTATTGATTGATAAATAAAAAATTATAGATTAAATGTCAGAAAAATTTTTGGTCTTAAGTGAAAATTGTATTCTAACAGGTCCACGAACGCTTTATTTGCTGTATTTACTGTTGAATGATGGCCAAACTGATTTAAAAGCAAAAAAATGGATTGAAAGTAGAGCTATAAACATATTTGAATTAATTTTTTTTCGAATAGTGTCAACGAGCCAACAAGTAGAAAGATGGTCTAGGTCTACGTTAAGAAAAACTCATTCACTTTCATTCCATTTGCGAATAAAGTCGTGTAGGTTTCATAAATATGTGTAATATGGTCTCTATGTCGATCAGATTTGAAGATCAGAAAGAAAAATTCGAGGAAAAAAGTCAAAGAAAAGTTGTAAAAAAGGAAAGGAAATAGGAAAACGGAGGAAAAAAAGAGTAAAAAAATAAAAACCAGCAATGGAAAATAAAGAAGAGGAACAAGAATAGGAGTAAGAAAAACATCCATAAAAGAAGAATCAAGAATAAAGCTAACATAAAATCAAAGAATAATAATATAAAAACAAAAAACATATGTAGAGATGCAGGAGGGAATCTCAACTTCGGAAGAAGGTGTGTGTTATTCGACATTGAAATAGCAATATACTGCAATGGATGTAATATGTTACATTAAAGTTTGATGGAGATAATATACAAAGACTAAAAGCTCTTTTCATCTATTTTCATTCACCGAATATCTCTTTATCCCTTTCGGTTCAATAAAAGTTCATCTAATTTAAATATTACTATTTTTTTTTTAATTTGAATTTATATTCATCATATTTACTACAAGAGAAACAGAGAGAGATAACATTAATTAACATATTCATTTTTTCTAAAAATTTTAAGGAATTTTAAAATGAATTAAATATGTATATTATATATTTTTAAAAATAACATCTATTATGCTTAGCAAATTATTACTTTTAGGAAATTGTGTTACATTTTTCTAATTAAATATTAACACTCGTGTAAAAATGAGCAGAGATGTAAAATTAATATTTAAAGTAAATAATTTCAATAAGAGTTAAAAGCATAAATTGCATTATTTTCTTACTTTTCTAATGTTATTTTAAAAATTATTTAAGAAAATCTAGCGAAAATGTTCAGTATTAACGAAGAGTATTGAAGTTATCAATTATTCTTCGATTTATAAAATTTATATAGTTGATTAACGAAAAGCTGTTAGGAAACTTTACCAACTTACACGGTTTCCAAAATTGTTCTATTTATCAATTTTTTATCTTTTCCTTCTTTCACGAAAATTAGCGCTGAAATTTTATTGAATGATAAATTATTTCAATTAAAATTTAATTAAATACGAAACATTCTTTAGTTTCGATTTCCTATCTTGATGTTTAACTAAATTTAGCGTAAAAATTTCCAATAAACAGACTATAAATTTCTAATATACTAAGTGAATTTACATTTCATATGTTTTTTGAATGGCAAACGTTAAATTATCTCAAATTTTCAACATATAAAATTAATATTTTTTTTAATATATATATTTTACTTTCGAAATGAAGATTTGTTTAATTTTTTTTTAAATATAAATCTAATTAAAAATTAAATATTTAAACATTAACAGTATTATAACTCCGCTCTTGATGCTATCTTTTAATCAATTTTTTATTAAGAAAAGGAAGATTTTAATTTTACATGATAAATAATTATTCAAGATATTTATTTTACAAACATTTTTTTTAATTATGACAATTTTATCGTGCGTTAAAGACAACATGAAGTAAGTGAAACGTAAAATTTCCTCTCTCAATGACACATAATACGTTTAAGCGCCTTACGTGGAATTGATACGTATTACAACTGTTTTCCGGTTATTAATTTATTATATATATATATATATCTTTTTTACTTTGTTTATAAAATATAAATTATTCTGTCTATAAATAATGATTTTTAACTCGAGATTATATACCTGTCAATTTTTTTAAGTAAAATTTCTACGTTAATTTTAGTAAGAAGAGAGCATAATGCACCATCGAAACATCATTTAGAGTTCGGATTAGTGAGTAGATGCGTGTAAATGCTATGAGAGAATTGTTATTGACTATCTATTTCAGTATACGTTAATATATTCAGGAATCGACAGCTAGATAATATATAATCACAATAGGAAAATTTCAAGTGCGGGAGAGTATCGATCGTATTTGTTGTGCAGGAATGGAGATTGGAACCACAAAAGGTTGAAAGATGAAACGTCCTAAAACAAAATGTATCAGTCCCCAGAAAAAAAAATCACGTAGAAAAACATTACAAATCAAAATATCCGGATTCAAAACTTTGAAAAGTCATTACAGAAAGGCAAAATTTGAAAGAACTCCTTAAATTATAAATATATATATTAAACATACACGAAGATATATAGCTTTACTTAAATGCGTTAGTTTATCAAGACGAGAAGTTACCTAAATATTAAAACTCCTGATGTTGACTGTTATTATACCGATAACGATAATGTTTACATGTTATCTACACTCGGTGCATCTTGGTATAAGTCACAGCTAACATTATATTTACTTGCAAAAATAGATCAGTTTGGTCTGAATCGATAAAGAGGAGGATGCAATATTATGTCGTTGTAGTAATGGACAAGAAGCTACATGTTCAGCCTGAGGATAGTATCTTAAAAGGTTCCTCTTATATTTTCTGACATATGGATAGATGCTTCTTACCTTGAACAACTATCTGAAAATTTGTATCGTCCTTTCCATAGGAATTCTCTCCTGTGCATGTAAAAACAGCTGAATCACGTCTGCTTGTCGACGGAATGCGGATGGTAAATATAACAGAACTCGTGCTTGTACGTATTTGCTCTTCAGATACATATCTGGAATGTAAAAGTATTCATTGTAAGACCATCCACGTATACAGACATATTATACTGTAATAAATAACCATATATAATAGCTATAAGTGAAAATTTTGTGATAAAGTGCAGCATTATTTTAAGTAATGTCTTTAAAGTTAGGTTTATTTTTTATCATTTCTATCATTCATCTTAGGATTTTTATTTGTTCTTCCATCTTCTTTCCGATCAAAACTAATGGAAAACAAAAATTTCAATTAAAACGACTAATTAGAACTTTTCATTTTTGAACTGGTTCTTTGATGAATAAGCTATAACAAAAATAAAAAAATATAATAAAACTAATTTAATAAATTTATATAATAATAGAAAAAAATATACTGTATATATATATATGGCAATATACAATTTTACCTTAAGGAGAATGTATAGTATAAATTTATATTGTAAATGTCCCCTAAAGTAAAATTATGTAAGTAGAGCCATCGGACACAGAACTATAATGTACTGTACAGTACATTACTAAGCTCTCATTTATAATTTCGACTATATTAAGAGAAAGCATTAAAAATTTACAATACTAAAGAGCTTTACGTCTTACCTTTAACAGAAATGACATTTGAAAATATTTAATTCTGATTTCAAAATAAAAATATTTAAACATTGATTATATGAAATGTATTGTAATGAAATTTAAATATATCCCGTATTTAAATTTAATTAATTTTTCGTTCTGAATTTTTCAACTGAAAACATGAATATATTTAATAAAGGTTAACAAAGAGCTTTCTGATAAAATCGATACTTTATATAATAAGTTAATTAATAAAAGTTATTNCAATAGTATTTATATAAATATATATAGGCCCTACAGGAAGTATAATGCTCCATTTTATTATTATTAGAGAATAAATTCAGTTTTTAAACAAACAAAATTTATTACATATTAATTTTAATGTAAAAATAATATTAAATATATATTTATGCCATAAATATTTTACTTTTTTTTTATTTTAATGTAACGCATATTTAATTATAATTTCATCTTGCTCGAAACATTAAACGAATGACTTCATCACAAAAAAGAAAATAAATAAACGAATTTCAATTTTATTAATAATAAATTATCAACTTTGAAAAATAACAATTTAAATATATATTACAACAATTTATCTTTTAAAAATCGATATTGTTGTTAAATTCCTTTCCTTGTTTCTAGAATAAATAAAATTTATAACAACTTAAATTTTGTAATATAAATAATTTTAATTAAATTATATTTACTTAAATATAAACTGTATAAATTTAAATATAAATTTCATGTTTAAGAGTTTAGAAATCTTTAAGAAATTGTTAGTAGACATCTTGTATTACATTCTTCTCCTTATGTTTTTGTCATACTTGATTAAACAAATAATATAACAAATAATATCGAACGTACAATGCGAAACAGGATATGACAGTTTCATTAACATTTTTCGAAGGAAAAATTAATATATCCATGTCCTTACTTCATTACAAGTACCATCAACAATCAATACTTATTCACTTCTCACATATTAAACGAGGGACGTTGGGTTTGAAAGAAAATGAAGCCAATTTAAAAAGTTGCTGCAGAGAATACGAGAATGAGCAGATGGAAAATATTGGATCTATTCAATGTTGATACTTTTTCATAAAAAAATAAAATAAAAAAATGTATCTCTTCTTCCATAACCAATCGTCACTTTCGCGTTAAGTACGAAAAAAAACTGTTTTATATATACGCGCGTGTGTGTTTGGATTATTTTTTTTATTATTTGATGTATATTTTTCTTGAAAATATTTCGAATTTACTATTTTAGGTTGTAATTTCGTGTTGAGAAAACATTTTCTGTCAATAGCATCTATAGCACGCAACCTTTACCACTTAAAAGCACTTATATACTCTTCTATTTACAAAATATACCATCTGAAAATAATTCGATTCGACAGGAAATAAATGAGAAAATATTTTAACTTAACTTAAATTTTAAAAAATAAAAAGATTTTATAGTTTATAAAATGGTAAATGATAAGAAAAAAATATATTACAAACCTAGGTTCGAATTCGGGATTAAAACTATGTCCGTCTCTGCTCCACGTTATAACTATAGGTTTCTCGCCGAATACTTCGCAATTTAATGTTATAGATTCTCCTCTACGAACTGTTTCTGTATGAAATTTCTTCTGGAAATGAGCGGGAACTATGGAAGAAATTAATTGTTAAAAACATATAAGTAATCATTTAAAGAAGTAGACATTTATCAAGCAATTATCCCGAAGAAGTGCGAGAGATGCGAAATTAGTTTTAGTTAATCGACAAGGACTAATTTACAGGCTTTAATTATTTGATTCATTTATCGCAATGACAATTAGAATTAACATGTAAGAGAACCATTAATCGCCCAATTGATTGATTATCTATTGATGAACCTCGCCCAAGAATAATTCGTGTTCACATTAATAAACTCTCAAAGAAAGTCATTTTTGGATTTTCGAATAGAAAAAAAAATAATAATANTTATTAAACAGGAATTATAACATTATCATAAAGGACAGTTGAACTTGTATACAAACTTTATTGAAGACTCACGAATCAATATTATGTTTAAAACTCCTTAATATTGCTTCTTTTATACGTATTTAATATTTAAAATATCAGATCAGTCGATAAACTATAAGGAATTTACGGTAAAAATGTTTAATAATGCTTAATGGTTTGAAGACTTAAAATATAGCCAAATCGCTGCATTTCTAAAGAAATTTTAAAACTATATTTGATCAATTACTATTCCATTACATTAAATTACATATTTTAACTTTCAAATAACTTCAAAATACTTGATACACTGTATAGTGTACAGCTTTCTAATACTAAAATAAGGCGAAATAATCAATACGTCATTTCGAAATATCAAAGTATTAATGCATATTTCAGACATCTGGCAATATACAATTTTACCTTAAGGAGAATGTATAGTATAAATTTATATTGTAAATGTCCCCTAAAGTAAAATTATGTAAGTAGAGCCATCGGACACAGAACTATAATGTACTGTACAGTACATTACTAAGCTCTCATTTATAATTTCGACTATATTAAGAGAAAGCATTAAAAATTTACAATACTAAAGAGCTTTACGTCTTACCTTTAACAGAAATGACATTTGAAAATATTTAATTCTGATTTCAAAATAAAAATATTTAAACATTGATTATATGAAATGTATTGTAATGAAATTTAAATATATCCCGTATTTAAATTTAATTAATTTTTCGTTCTGAATTTTTCAACTGAAAACATGAATATATTTAATAAAGGTTAACAAAGAGCTTTCTGATAAAATCGATACTTTATATAATAAGTTAATTAATAAAAGTTATTTTATACCCGTTGGCTACAACTCATTATAGCTTCCATAACCTGAGGGTTAGATTCGTCATCATTCCGGAATCTAGCTTTAGGAACGATACCCAAGTAACAAATATTAAATTGTACCAGACAATTTCCGCTTAATACAATCTTTGCAAACGTCAAACTATAATATTTAATCGATATTACTTAGAGGAACAGCAATTTTTGGTCGCATTTTTACAGCGTAATATCGAGAGATTTCGTGTCTATCAGCTTATCTTAAGTACAGAAAACGAAAAGTAAAAAATATCAAAATATACCGTATTCTAAGGTCTGTGCAATGACTTCTTCGGATTTTGGACCCGTTCCTTTGGAATTAAAGGCTTGGACAATAATGGAGTATTTCGTATGTCTTCTGAGATTGGAAAGTTCGCATTCTTGATTATTACCAGGAGCAGCCACTGATGTCTTGTAGGTATAAAGCTCATTAACTTCTTTCATTTTGTAACCGACGTAATAACCTTCAATAATTCCATGTTGGTCTTCTTTAGCTGGAGGCTGTGAAGATATACAAAGAAGTGAATTAACCTTCTAAGGATTTGTTCTCGATTATAGCAAGGCAGGACGTCTTCTTGTGTTCTTTAAAAATAAACTTTACATTATTATCTCGAGATTTCTGTTCTTCTTTGTTTTTATACGGAAATTTGCTAATAAAGTATAATGAGAACTTTTTTTAATGTAACTTACATATTAATTTCAGAATTAATAATGCAATTTGGTTATTTTCTCTTTATTACTGACTTCTAACAGTAGATTTTTTTAATACAAATTATTTCTAAATCATAAATTTAATTTTAAGAGAAGGAGCAGAAGCATTCGTACTTTGTTTAAAAATATAATTTAATTTAAAGATATGACTCTTTTCTTTTTAATTTGTCTTTAAGCATTAAATTAGATCTATAACTCGTTAGTTTAATTGTAATTGTAAATGTTTCAATTATTAATTTTAATATTTGTTATTATAATTAATATTTTTATAGAAAATACTTGGTCATTTCTTTTATTTTTTTGTAATATCAGGAAAACACTTCGCCTTATAATTTCGATAGAAGCAAGGTTTTCAATATAATAATATTTTGCTATATTGGTAAAAATGTGTATTTGTAATACATAAAAAATTCAAATATTATTATAAAATAGGATATCAATAAATTAAATTGATATAAATGAAAAGTTAATATTAAAAAAATTATATGAGATCTTGCTTCTTACAGATTTATTAATGCATTATCTATATAAAGATATTTATACATTAATACAGTAAAACTTTTTTATCTCTACTCGATTATCCGTCAGTCTCTATAACCGTTACGTCACTGAACTGCATCACCTGTCTGAGAATAGTAACATTATTTTCATTATTTCACGCTATTATTATTCTCATTATTTTATGATAAAAAGTGTTAAAAGCGATGAAGCACTAATGCGAAATGTAACAACCGTGAATGGGTGTAAAAGTAAGAAAGATGAAGTAGTTAGCAACAGATGCAAAACCATAATTAATCCGAAATGGTGACGTCAAAGTGCATTGAATGGTTCGAAATGCAGGAAGAAACAGAGACAACCCAAGTGCTACTAAAACGTAATTTCGCAACACAGGTTCTGTGAATTTAGGAATGCACTGAAACAAAAATAAATTATTGATGATTTTTTAAAATATTCGCTTGTAACTTTAATATTTGTCGATACATTCAACTTTAATATTATATAAATGATTTTTAGATACTTCCATTATCCGTGTTGCCCTTTCTCCGTTAAACTGTCGATCGTCGGATTATTAAAGTCTTACTAAATATAAACATACAGATTTAATTTTCTCTCGTTTTTAATAAAAATAAAGGCTTATAGAGTGCTTCCTCGTATATTAACAACATAACTAACAGCAGTATAATGAAAAGCTGTTTACAGTACAGCTTTATAAAGGAGGAAAAGTGTTTTTCAATACATAAAAATACTCAATTCAAGAACGGAGATTAGTAAGTAGAAACAATAATACTCGAGATTAATACACGATTATGAAACAAGAAAATAGAAATTAATACACAGAAGTAATAATGATATTTTTGTGATAAAAAAGAATGCTATTAATACATAAAAGCATATCAATAAGAACTGGCATTAATAAATGGAAGGACATCACAAAAAAATGGAAGACTAATAACAGAAAGTGTGATAACAATACAAAGACATATCACAAACGAGAACACTGATATNCTATTATATTATTTTTTTAATTTACTTAAAAAATATTTTTGTTATATAAATTTAATACTGATAAACTATAATTTAATGAAAAATAAAGAAAACAATACCATGCACATTCAATTTAACAATTGTGCCAAGACCAGAACCAACGTCGTTATTTGCTTGACACATATAATTTCCTTCGTCTTCTTTTATACTTTCTTTTATAGATAAAGAACCATTCTCTAATATTTGAATATTTTGACTGCTGATAATTACTTGAAAATCCGTTTCTGAATCACCTGCACAGCATTAAAATAAATAAACAAACAAATTATCTCTTTGCCATTTCTCATACATAAAAGAAGAAAAACAAATAGTTTATTTTATTTTATTTTTTAAAAATATTCTTTGAAAAATAATCATTTTTCATATAAAATAAATCGTTTTAAGAACGTAATAAATAAATCAATAAATATACCTTACCACCAGACTTTTTCCATCGAATAACTGGTTCAGGAAATCCTTGTGCTTGACAATCGAATAAAACTGCTTGTCCCATCACAACAGATTTATCATTCGGTTCTTTGCTCCATTTTGGGGGTACTGTAAACAAATTTTCCTATTTTAAGCCATCTCTTAATGCATCGAATATTGTATTACTTGTTTTCTTACCTCGAACGACCATAACCGCCGTGTAATTAGTTTGTGCTGCAGGATTACTAGCAATGCACGTATAGTTACCATTGTGATGTTGAGAGACTGATAGTACGGATAAAAGTGAAGTAAACTCTGTAGCCATTGTAATTGTAGCATGTAAATCTTTAGAAAGTGATTGACCGTCTTTCAACCAACGAATCTGTATGGGAAGATCTCCTGCGGATACTACACAAGCAACGCTAGCTCTTTTTCCTTCGGTGAGATCATTAGGAAAAAAGAAGGGTTCTAGAACTGGAGGTGCTAAAAGATAGCAATAATAGAAAGAAAAGCTCTATACGTCTATAATTATATGAAATGTAATAAATAATTACACAAATCTTAATGATGAAAGCTTGGTTTTGTGTGAAATTTATATTTTTCTTGGAGTTATATGATTATTCGACGTAGTATCGTTTAATTATGCTACAGAATTATGTAAGTTGTTTAAAACTTCACATGAGTCAAATACAAAGTCATGTTAAATTTCCTGGAGTATAGTTAATAAATGATTATTCTGCAAGAGAAAGTTTTGTAAATTTCAAAACTAATTCTTCACTACCCTTCGGTTGTTAAAAGTTCCCACAATGATAATAAAATTGTATACAAATCCCAAATTGAAACTTGTTCTCCCCCTAAGAAATTTTTATATGAGTCTTAACAGGAGAATTCACCACTCAATGGCCACTAATTGCCTCAACAGTTGTAGATGATGAGGTGAGGTCCCAGAGGACATCTTGCTAATCATGTGGAAATTAGCCATTGCCAAGGATAGAATTAGATACAACTGAATCTAGAATTAGAAAAGAGAATTGTTTCCTATCCAACTAGAAATTAACGCAACAAGTTATATTACAATTGAAACTGATAAAATGTTTTATATTGTTCGAAAGTGAGATTTTATCTACTTAGAAAAAATTATGTGAAGGCAATAAAAGAGATCTAATTATAAGAAACATTGTTTAAAAAAACAATTACAATTGTGGTTAGAATTTTTAGATAAGTTTTTAAAATCGTAAAAGAAGAAATTAATTAAAATAATAACATTAGAAGATAAGGTAAAGAATGATATTTGGCTGTATCAACTTGGCAATCTTGACATTGGAAAGAGAAGATTGTTATCAATAGTGACAAGTTAATAGACAAATAAGCCGATCCATTTGATTCCTGACAGGATATTTGTGACATAAGTGATTCGTCTGATGACCCAATTGATATGTCGATAGATGTAAAAGCTACATTTCATTCCTTTTAGGAATTTTTAAAGATAATTTACTATACTATTTTCCACATAATTATAAAAGTTTTAATTGGATTTAATAATATTAAATTAATTTCCGCTTTAAAAAATATGAATTTCTTTTAAAACGACTAAATAATTTTAGGGTGAACAATGCATATTGTTTAAAAAAATGTTTTGTTTTACCTTCACAATATATCTCAATCTATTCACTCGCTTCTTAATTAATTATGTAAAGGAATTTCAAGTAATTTGTCTTAGTTTAACAGTAAATTTTTTAAAGTATAAATGTATTAAGTGTTTATCTTTGCAGTGTTAAGAAAATTAATTTTCCACATATTCTATCGATAAAATAGTAAAAATAAGAGCCATAATTTAAATTTTAATACAAGAAACTTGCTAAAATCTAGTAGTAATTTTAATTAAAATTTATTTACGAGTGATTTTAAAACGATTTTTTAAATTTTATTTATTTTTTTGCAAGTCTTTGCTATTATCCTGGCAAATGCATTGTTAAAAAAATGGTGAAAACAGAATAAATCAAATTAAATGCCAACTACATTTACATTTGGTGGATCTTGTGCACCATTAAAAGCCGAATATTCTGTGTTGAAGAAAAGTAAACTATCTACTTTAAAAGTTGATTATTCGCGATTCTTTCAAAAAACATTATATAATTATTTTCAACAAAAAGGGATCGTATTTTCTTCCATTTTCTATCAAAGTCAGTTTTTAACGAAACATTCAAAGAGAATTTATTAGATTCAATTAGTAAATTTGCAATCGATCAGTCTTTGTACAAGTGATTGAATTGAATGAAAGGTAATTGGAAAGATATAATTCAAGTTGAAAGATCAAATAAAACTTTCCGAGTAAATATATCCATTCTAGCATACTTGTACCGATTGATTCAGTCGTTCCTATCATCTCATGAGTAAAGTACAACTCAAAACCTATATCAGACTGAAAAAAATAATAAAATAAAAAAAAACATTCTGCTAAGAATTCTTTTTTCTTCAAAAATATAAAATTCCTTTTCTTTAACCAAGTGAAGCAATTCAAAAACTTAGAAAGGAATCTTTCTTAAAACTAACCCACAAAAACGACAATTTAAAGTTATATAAAATATCAATTCAATTTTAAAATAAATGACTTTAATTTATAAAAGTTAAAATTGTTAAATAGGTAGAATCTATATAAAATAAGTTGTTTTTATACAAAAAAGAAAAAATATTTTTTTTCCAATTATTCCTTTGAAAATTCACTATTTTTGTAGATATTTTTCCACCCTTTCCTTTGATAAAAACAAATCATTTAAAGAGAAACAAAAGGAAAATGTTTTATTTTTAAAGAATCCATTTAATTAAGAATAGAAGGTAGAAGACAGATTTAAGCACAATACTCAAAAATCTTTTTATTCCCATTATTTATTTCATTTTTAAAATTGTGAAATCAGAAAATCCAATTAAGAATCTTAGTGATTTTATAAAGATTACCAAAGAAAAATGACAATAAGCGATTTTCCTTCCAATAAAAACAGTTTTTTCTTCCTTCATAAAAAATAATAATAATAAAAAATAATACTAATAATGTAATGAAAATTATGAAAGTGGTTTTTATTTATTTTTGTAATTTATATTTGAGACGAATTTCTTTTCTTAGAAAGTAGAATTATTGTAAAGCCGGTACTAATTATCTCACGTTAAATCCGATCCAAGTAGTCTGAGAGCATTAATGTGAAGTATCTTTGACCCTTTATTAATAATGTAGACTTGATTAATAGGTAATTTGATATTGGAAATATGATTGAATTGCAAACACTCTTCTGGTTAATGAGAACATATCCTTTCGATTAAATATATTATTTTCATTTAATTGTTACAAAGTTCAATATTTTATTAAGAAAGTTTTCTTTTAATTGCAAAAATATTTACTTTTCATCTCACTTCTCTTACTTATCTTTTATAAATATAAAAATTATTTCATTTTGTATAAATTGAAAAAAAAATCATTTTAAAAAAATTTCATATTATCAAACAAAAAAAATTAATTAATTAATTTCTAATTTTTAAAGAACGAACATAAAGTTAAGTAATTTTGTATAGAGATATTTTTGATAAAAGATAAAAGGGGGAAAAATCTATATTTTGAGAGTAAAAACAAGTGGAAAAAAAAACTTCTTATAGAATTAGTTTACTTCAATACGCGGTCTTAAAATAACAGAACTCACAGAATAGAATTTGATCAATCTTTCACAAAGTTTTTTTTTTCTTCTTCCTAAATAACATCACATATAGATTTTCGATATAAAAGTTTTTCTTTGTCTAAAATACCAATAACTAGTTAGCAAATTCATTTCTTACAACATTCTCCCCTTCTTTCTTTAAGAAAATTTATGATACTGCATTGATTTCGATTATTCATTCATTTTGAAAATAAAAACAAAACAAAAAAATATATTGCCTACTAAACAATGCTTCGAAGATAAATTTTAAGCTACATTTTAGGTATTGTACTTTAAAAAATTAAATAGGATTGTTTGTAATAAATAAATAAATAAATAAAGGTTTACCTTCCATTGAACTTGTATGGTATGTGAACTAGTAGCGATTGCTCTAACGTTACGAGGTGCACTACTGGGAGCTGTAATAATAAAATAAAGTTTTAAAATTAAGATGATACGTAACTCAATTGGTGATATTTGAGAATATTTTTATAAAGCTGATATCAAACTGTATTTAATATTACCTTCTGCTTCGGTAATAACTGTTATACTATCGCTCGGCTCACTTCTTCCGAGTGCATTCTCAGCTATCAATCTCAGGTGATAAGACGTTTGTGGCGCGAGTCCTTGTAAAGTATACGTGTTTTCGTTTCCATCTATCTTTTCAACACCAGGAGATGTCCAGGAATCTGGTAAAAGATTCGCATTCAAACTTTATGGACTGTTTGAGTTTTTTTTTTCTTTTAGAAAAAAGTTTCTGTAAAAATTACTTTACTGAAACATGTTTGGGTGATGCGGTAAGTTTTAAACATAAATAAACCCAACGCTATTATTTTTATAGGAAATATAATAAAATTTACCTTAATGCTTTAAATTTGATAAGATAAGAAATTATCTTTTTAAAATGTCGGTAAGTTTTTATAACTTTCGGAATATAAAAAGAAAAATGGTAGAAGTTTATGTTAACACGATTACTTTGTTCTCTTGGCTTAATAGGATTTATAAAATATTTTATGTAAATTNTAAAAGCATATCAATAAGAACTGGCATTAATAAATGGAAGGACATCACAAAAAAATGGAAGACTAATAACAGAAAGTGTGATAACAATACAAAGACATATCACAAACGAGAACACTGATATCGGTATCAGTAACGATATCGTAAAGAAAGCAACATCAGTACAAGAATGTTAATATCGATTATTATGATTTTTTGCAAAGTATCATAATAATCGATATTGACATTCTATAAATTTAATCTATTATATTCGTGTTTATATACAACAATCTCATAAGGTCGAACTACTTTCAATTAGTTTTCCTAGTTTTTTTAATTATTTACGTTAATTAAAAATTTAATTAAAATTATAAATAAACTACAATATAAAAAATGATAAATAATATAAGTCCTTCGTTCTACACAAAATAATTTGTGAAGATTAAAGGGCACGCGTCATATGTTTACTAGTATAAAAACAAAAAGAATTTTTTAAAATATACGCAAAATTAAATTTACTTTAAAATATAGTCGAACCTTTAAATAAGGGCCACTTCTCAACAACGGCTTTTTATTTATGTAAAAATGCATACAAAATAACCTCCGAACGACGGCCATTTTTAACGCTTCCGCCAGAGGTTTGACTGAATATTATAATTTAAATATTTAGAAAATTTTAGGAAAAAAGATATGTTTTAATAATTTAAATATAAATAACAGAAAAAAACAGATATTTTAATAATTTAAATAAAATTGGATTAACACAAATGGAAATGCTATATAAAATTTTATGATATAAAA